GCAGCACTGTTTTTTCAGCTTTTATTCTCGTGTCTCTGACTTGAAGCCATCGGTAACATTTTATTTTATGTGCTTTGTTATTGGATCGTCTTGTTTGCGTGTTATCAAACCGGTTTACCTTGCAAAGCCATCTTCGTTATTCTGCGGCTGCAATTGTGCTAATGCTGAACTCTTTTGTGGAACTTGCAGCTTCTGGAATTTTTTGCCTATTGTGAGTGCGAGAGAACAACAAGATTCTTGCTTTTCTAAAATTATTAAATGTTTGTTAATAACTTTCAAACATTTGTGCTATGTCTATAAATAGCACAAGATAAAATAGTTTTATTACCTGTTATTACCGAGAATAAAATATATTTTATATATCCCTTCAGCTGAATCCCATAGTCCACCTTTTCCACGAATCTCATCAATCGTAAGGTGTATGCCCACTGTACAATTTTTGAAAAATCGGTTTTTATTTTTTTCGCTTAAACTATGCTTTATAGTCATAAAAATAAGCTTAAGTTGATTTGTAATGGGAAATATTTTTTCAAACGACTTTAAACATATATTGTAAGCTCACCTCCGGCTCAGCTATAGTTATATGTGAAACTTTAAACGCGTTTTTCTCAAAAGTACCCTTTTCCAATTGGCAAGACAAATAACTTTGACAATTTTTATTCGATCGACTTCAAGTTTTGAGATTATCTTTAGAATTGTATTTTGCAAATAAATACGTATGGAAATTTCGATTGATTCAAAACTTTTTTTATGGCCAATTTTTACCAAATTATTGACTAAAAATGATATTTTTAAGTTCTGTTCTGAATCAATATATTAAAATTTCCCTACGTGTTTCTATGGATATTCTCATGTACAAGAACGACGTTTTTTTATTTTGTCCCAGGACGACAATTGTGGATGCTAAATGTCTCGACGTGGCGCGCTTAAAAAAACGATATAAGAGACTTCGCACGATTTGCTTATTATAATCAACAAAATTAATTAAAACGAAAGAAATAACGAGCTGGAGGTTCAAGCTTGATAAGTGTTTCGTTAGTTCTGTGAATAAATGATTATATCTAAAAAAAAAAAAATGAATCTGCACATGATTTTGTAACCGCTACAGTGGCTATAGCCCTTAATAAATGTTGTACTCTATATTTGTATTGTTAAAAGTGTGAAAAGGCAGTGAGCTGGCTTTGCCAGCTTGTACATCTATTCGCATGCTACACTACGTTTGTGTACATATGTATGTATGTATGTATGTGCGTATAGAAAGTTTTTAATTAAAAGTTGCGTATACGCCATGTTGCCAGGCTTTCTATCACTACAACACATATCCTGCAGTCTGTTTGCAAGAAGTGGAAAATTTGTTGCAAATTAAGTGCAAAGTACCGCTGGGTAGGAAATTACATGAACGCAATGCCACGTTATTTTTCTTTATGCTTTCTCTGCAACTTCGACTTGCGGTATTTAATTATTTTTGGCGGTACGAATGTGAGTAAAACGGAAATGCCACCAAAACTTAATAACCATGCTAGCTGTTTTCGTTTGAAGAAGTATTTTGTTGTTGTATTTTTCTTTTTAGTTTATACGCTAGAACTAATTTACTGATAGCCGATATTTACATTGGTTTTCAAGTGATTTTCCGCTTTTCAAAACTCAACGAACTTCTATGATACAAGTATTTCTTTACGATTATGAAGTTGCCACTTATTTATAGTGTTTTGTTTTTGTATTCTATTGCCAGTGTACGCGTTACTACTGATGTTTTTATCTTTTTCTTTCATTCAATTGCCACGAGCGCCAAAGTTTTGTTTTGTTTTATTTTCTTGCACCCGAGTGATGTTGAGTTCCCACACACATACCTATTGGCGTAAAAGTAGCAAAGGCCATGTACAATCTCAATATGTAAAAGGAGAACTTCGTCGCAAACCAAGGGAGAATTTTTTAGGTTCTCAATTTAGTACATATCTGTTGGTGGGAGCCTCTTCTAAGATTCGTGTTCTAAAAGGTACATTTGTGCATGTGCATATGCATGTGAATCAATTTTGTGACGCTTGGCAGTTTATTTCAGAAAGCAAGAACATTTTATGATAACAAATTCTATAAAACGAATATCAAGAAATATAAATTGCACATTTGCATACACGGGTCTTTATATAGTATTATTGGTTTAAAGAGATTCAAAATATGGAATCGAATTAAATTATTGTAAATGATATGCGTTTTCGTTTATTATTATTATTGCAAATTAATCTGCATATATGAATATCTACATTATTTTGTATAAATTGAATTTAATTATGCAATTATCATTCATTAATTCCCTTTTAATTGTATAAAACGGTGTATTTTATTCGCCATGCATCAATGCACACTTCGAAATAACTGGCAACTTTCTTATACAACATTGGAATAGTTTATTTAGCAATATAAAAAACTGATGTCGTGAACACCACAAATGAGATGTGAAATTTAATAATTTTATTCATTTCATTTAAATGTAAATATTAATTTACTTTAGGAGAGCAGTGTTCAAAAACGAATAAATGTGTGAATATTGTTCATATTTATTTCTACATTTTCTGCCTTGTTGTTGACTTTCGTAGTATCTGACATATGTATAAACATGCAGAATTTGTGCCGATTGTTGATTTACCACAACAAATTCACAACCACATACTTGTACATACATATCTAAAAGTGTATAAATGCTATAATAACATGCTCTTTTAAGTATTTTGCACATACACACTGTTTTTTTTTACTTATTAATATTATTTGCACTTATTTATATTGCTTCCATTATTGTTATAATTATTAATTGCGGCTGTATTTTTTCGTTTAAATTTCTCCAACTATTTGCACCTTCATACTCGTATTACTCCTATCGCCCAGCACCCCTCATGCACCTAACCCCCCATCATTTATCTTTTTAGTACACTCGCTCGCTCTCGAGCTCCCATAACACATTTTTTACACTCTCATTCGCATATTCTCGCGCACCCGCTGCTGCTCTCGCCACATGCACTGTGTATACTCGTTACTGGCTGGCTGTGTCCCTGCTTACTCAATCATATGCTTTTTGCCGCCGCCAATTACTCTGGCGCCGTATTTAGTTAGTCAGCAAGCGTGAAACCTCCAAGTTTGTGTTTTGGGGCAAACGGTCAATAGAAACGCGAAAAAAGTATATGAAAGAAAAAATCACATCGAACAAATCGAGCGAAAGTACTTTTAAAGTGAGACATTTTAAATAAAACGTTCGCTATATCTTTGTGACTAAACTATAGAAACAACAATAATAAATACTTTGAGGTTAATAAATATGCATGTGAGACGGTGAAGAACTGAGAAGTGCGTTTGTGTGTGTGTTAGTTAATCAGCTGATTTTTCGTTGTTCGCCCACTGGTTAGTAGAGAAAACTGTACATAGCAAGCTTGCAAACACAATTTAAACTTTTTTTTGTTGATTTTGACCTATAACCAGCTTCATTCGTCGTTAAAAATTAATTGTACAACGTGTATAAAAATTTTTACTACCTTTGGGCTGGGAATTTATTGGCAAATAGCGCGTGTGTACGTGAGTATGCCAACTTTTTCGCTACATCCACCGTCTGCCATATTGCTCAGACAAAACCCAAAATAATTGTTCGAGTGCAAAATAATAAAGCTATCTTGTGTGGAATTATTAGAAACACCAACAAAAAAAAGAGAAACAAATGTGCCGATTCAAATAAGTACAAATAGGTTGAATTATCAATATGTTGCGCTGATTAATGTCAATAATAAAACAAAGTGCAAGTGTTTGTAGACAATCCCAAATATATACACATATGTATGTATGTATATCCAAGAAGCATTTAAATAATACATTTGTGCCGTGTGGTGTGGTGGGCTTAAAAGCCGTTCAACCAGTTTGGAATATTATTAATATACACTTCATGGAAAACGTTCATACATACAAGCACACATATGGACGTAATGCAATTAGAGCAGTAAATATGCTATACTTTAGTCTACTGTGTTATTGATTTTAAAATGTACAAAACGTTTTTGGCTGCCTTCTTGACTGAAATACTGCTATATATACATACATATGGTATGTATATGTGTGTGTAGTAAATCCATATGTTTTCTATGAAATCAACTTGTATTATAAATGTGATTTTAAAATTTTTATAAGTCTCTTTGTGCCGCAGTTACTTTTCACACATTTTTTTTTTAAAAACGATTTTTTCAAACGTTTCACGCACATACATGCATACATTTGTGATTATAATTCAGAATATGATAAGTACATATGTACACAATCATAAATATAAATTGTGATTAGAGACATTGAGTAGCTTTTTACAACAAATACATATTCATAAGAATAAAACCGCACACTATCCAGTTGCTTTAAGAGAAAACTAAATTTGCATACAAACATACATACATATACATATTATATATTAAACAAAACAAAAAAGTGTTTAGCAACGATTCGCGTAATGTGTACTATAATTTTGTTGCGGAACTTCTAGAAGGTTCTCCAGATTAAGAAAATATATGTATATAGTCGTATATATAGTTGCCGAAGACTTATAGTTTTTGAGATATTTGCATTTGAAGTTCAAAAATTCAACTATTTAAAGTGCGTGTTTCTCCGATTTATAATGAATTTTACACTTATATTTTTAACTTTTATATCCACTATCACTTCACTAATTCGTCACAAAAAAACATTACGGATCGTTTTGAAAACTTCTTCGTTCTACCCAAAATTAAAATGGAGAGTATTTTGTCCTTGATCTAAGCACTCTAAAAAGGTAGAATCGGTTATCGAATCCGCCAACCAGTCAGATATGCTAATAATACTCTTTTAGATTTTTTCTATATACTTGTATACCATATTTAACATACATACATACATCTCTGTCAAGAATAGAAGTATAGTTACATTTTAGCTAACTACATTTCGTTCATCTAACATTTCTTTACTTATAACTTCGAAACTCTTTTTTCCACTTCCAGGTCTATGGGTATTTTACTGCCACCCGTCTCACAGGTGACCAACACACGCATCAATTTAACACAACATCATCGCAATCGCAGCTTGGACAGCGCCTTGCAGCGCATACCGGAGGTGAGTAGATACCAAACAAAGCAAATAAAATTATAAAATAAATATGAACAACATAAAATGTCAAAAATGATTTCATCGACGGTTGAATGAACATGAACCTGCCACACAGGAAACATTCGAAGCCCTGCGTAGGCGTCAGTGACACGCAAGCAATTTGTGCGAGTACACTTCACTTCTAGGGCTATTTCAAATTGCAATGGCAAAATGAGCGAGCTTAGTGACTAAAAAAAAATTACAATAACAATAAAAAAAGCTGACAGGAAGTTAAATCTGTAAAAAGAATTATTTCTTTATTTATTTTAACCTTGTCAAGAAAAGAGCATGCATTAGTGTCATATGCTAAATTAACGCAATGTATTTGAGATTCTGCAAAAACGAAGTTTTGTGCAAAATTTTGTATAATAATAACAGCTTAATAAAATCTGCAGAATGGAATTTTTTGCAATGCAATATACATAGTATGTACGTATGTAGTGGGGGGGTGAGGGGTGGAGCGAAAAAAAAATTTGTTTTTGCTTAGCCTGAGAGTAAAATCAGTAGATTATAAAAAAAAAAAATTTTTGGACAAAAAAAAAAAAATTTTAACATCTACAAGTAGAGGCATTTAAACACATCAAAGTAAATTTCGAGTTAAAATTTTATTTGGACAAGAAAAAATAATTTTTGGTTTAAACTTTTCACATTTACATAAAAATTACCGAATGTGACGGTTTTTGACTGAAAATTTATTTTAACGCTTAAGGAAAGCATGTTGTCGTTTAAGACTTATTTTAAAACTTCAATAATAACCACAAAATTTTTTTTTAAGTCAATAACTTTTAATTGGCCAGAAGGAGAACTCACAGCTTTTATAACAGTTATCAAAAATTTTTAAGAAATAATAATTTTAACTCGAAAATTTACTTTAAAACTAAGTGGGCCGCCTCAAGATGTTAAACAAATTTTTTTTGTCCAAAAATTTTCTTTTATGATAATCTACAAGCTTTACCCTCAGGCTAAGCAATATAAGTGTTTTTCGCTCCACCCTAGTGTGTAGCAGTGTCACTTTTTTAATACTTTTTTTTGCTATATTTTGCATTTTGTTTGCTAGAATAAACTTGTATGGTTTCATGGTGCGCTTTTTCTTCTCGCTTTCGGTTTATTTATGTATTATAGAAATTCGCACAAGCTACAAGTTTGATTATCTTATATTGCATTTCATGTATAAGAATCTATATTGTTGTTTGATTATTTTATATTGCATTTTATGTATAAGAATCTATATTGTTGTCTTTGGCAAAATTTTTTTTTGTTTATTTAACGAAACCGGTGAATAGAAATTACCAAAGTGATTAGAGTTGTTCTAGAGTCTTGTTGCGTTTGTCGGAATCCCCTCACAGATAAAACCCCATATTCACTTATATATTTATGTATATCATTCTATTCGAGTTTTTTATTAGTCATTTAATGTGTCACAAAAATTGTTTGCCATTAATTTTATCGGACCATCGTACTAATTACGAAATTCTCTTTTGTATATTTCGGCAGGTTGAAGTCTCATCGCCCAATTCGGAGAGCGAGAATACATTCTGCACCCCATCCATTCTGGGCACTACTATGTGCTCGAAAATCGTCACGACTGCAGCCAATGTAACAGCTGCCCTCACAACCACCACAACACCAGCGCTGACGTCATCATTAACACCTTCGCCGCCATCCTCGTTATCGGCTACGCCTGCTAGAGTGTCGACCATAACAGGTGGTTTAATGGACTCAGTGTCTGCTGCCCCAATTGCAGCTATGACCACAGAGCCCACAGCCAACAATAGCAACAACATAAATATAAGCATTAACAACAGTAGTATTGGTATTGGTGGTGGCGGTGCTATTGCGATTGGTACGTCTAGTTAGCGTTTACACTTTGACCAAGTCTCATTAGCGTGTTTATTTTTCAATTATTTCGTTGTTATTTATTTATTTTTCTGCAGTCGAGTCCTGCCCAACGTTACGCATTCGTCCTAAGTCCAGTGAGGCAACGACACGTTGTGGAGTGGTGCCGCTTGCAGGTGCGGCATCGTGCAGTAATCACAGCAACAACACCAGCAGCAATAATAGTAACGGCAGTAGTAGTAGCAGTAAGAAGCGTGAGGATCTCACCAGTCTCGGATCCGATGATTCAGGTGAGCAGCAACTATGGATGAAGTGTGTTTGTATATACATAGTTGCAAGAAACGGGAAATCCGCTTTCATAAAACGACTTGCTTGTGACCTCTAATCTGTATAGATAGGTTTTCTTTCCTTAAAGTCAATTTTTTGTCGGTTTTGATTTCATTGCCATTAGCAAAATGATTCAGGAAATTCATGTTGCCAGATTGAACATTTTTATTATTGTTATAATAATAATACAATCTAATAACATTCAATTAAACCTCTCCTTCAGAAATAAATAATTTTGAATTCCGTTGCACACGCTTGTACTACACAATACCACATACTCACAATTCTACAAAATGTCTGTCAAACAAAAGTGTACAAATATGTTTTAAATTTTCTCATACCAAAAAACAGGCATAATTTGTGGTTCCGATTCGGATCAAATTTCTCTCAATCGCATACGTCACTCACACGAATCACTGGACTCGGGGGAAATGGACGCCGAAGAGGAATGCATAGACATGCTCGAAACAACTTCTATGGATGAGGAATATGGTATGCTACAGTCGGACTTAATATTTTATCCATCCGGCGAAACAGACTGTCGAACGCTACGTCCATCACGCAAACAGAAACAACTTCAACAACAACAAAATCACGACAAACACCTGCGAAGCACAACTACCGATGCGGATGTTCTGGGCGCCGCTGAAGATGACAGTGACGCGGATGACAGTGACGTCAAAGCAGCAGCACAACTATCCGAACGTATGCGCTATCGCGAATTGAACATGTCACAGGCAGCATTGAATTTGGAACGTACGAATAGTGATACACCTACAGCTCTAAATGTCGATGTGGCCACACCCACAGCTGATACGGTGGATGCTGCAACACCAGTATCGACACAGCCGAACCCACTATTAACTTCAACGAGCTCTACGAATGTCGCTACAACACCACAACCCACACAGTCAGCGAAGACACAAAAAATCGCAGATGGCGCAGGAGTTGGCACTGTTGCTGAACCGCAGAAAAAGAGCTTCTTTGGTGCAACTAAGAATGCTTTTTTCCGTACCGCACAAAGCATAAGAGATAATCACGACAAAAAGAATGCAGCAAAGAATAAGAGCGATGAAAACACTGGCAACACGGGTGCCAGCACAGTTCCGGACCAAGTAAAATCGCCAACAGATATATCGAAGAAGAAAGAATTCTTTAGCCTGATCACATCCAATTCGTTAAAGAAAGCTGCCGCCGCGGCAGCTGCAGCTGCGGCCGCTGCTACTTCTGCGCAACCATCCGCTTCCAATACGCCAGCCGCCACTCCGTCGGCCGATTCAACACCAGTTGAGCCGAAATATCCAAAATTTCCATCTTTAGTGTCTTCCGCGATAGAAAGTGTGGAGAAGAAAACCTGTGCTGCTACAGAAGGTACGGAGAGAACACTTAATCTGCCCCTCCCTGGGCTCGGAGCTTCCTCTTTGTCAACTTCTATTGCAAAATCGGCTTCCATCTCTTCTTTAAACAAGTTAAAAGTTCCAGGTGTAGTAAAATGCTTTATCAAGGAGCGTCCGACCAACAACGAGCAATTGCAAAAGACTGAAAAAGGCCCCAGTGGACTGCTAAGATTTTTCGAATCTCCCGTCTTCAACATACACTTTGCTATACACTATCTATTCTATTCGAAAGAACCCGGTGTGCTCAGCTTTATTGGTAATAAGATATTCAGTTTCCCCGACCAAGAGGTAGACCTCTATATGCCACAGTTAATTGTCATGTACATACAAATGGATGAATTGGCCGAAGTGCTCGATCCCTATTTGACAATACGTTGTCGCAAGTCGGTGGACTTTTCATTGAAATGCCTCTGGCTACTTGAATCCTACAACTATCAATTCGACTCACTAGGCAATGGATCACGAAAATCACAACTAGCCCTCATGAAGGAAATCTATTCGAAAAAAGAACGTAAAGTATTGAGTAAATCGGACGCTAAGGAGCTGCCGCCAGCAGTAGGCGGAGCTGTGGCTGCCGCAGCTGTTTCACCGTTGACAAAAAAGACACACCATCGTTCTCAATCTGACGCCACACTACTGTTAAGTGATTCACGACGCCACCCCTCATCCATCGCATTAAGCATATCAAATCGCCACTACCAACAGCCGCCATACACAACGCAAACTCTGCCGCTGATACCGCCCAAGTTGTGTTTAGGTGACTTGACCTCTGGGCGAGCCTTCGACAATGGTTGTACCTGCTTCGATAGCGTACGCGGCCAGGTGAGTGCTATCACATTCAATTTAGTTCCAATGACATTCTTGTCCCATATTGTGGATATTAATTAATAAATATAATTTTTCAACTTACCAGGTTAATGGCTTGCTTGGCCAGAAAACCGTGTGCTCATGCCACGCGCCTAAAACTGCCCCGGAGAAAGAGTTCATGAAAGCTCTGATAAATGTTGGCAAAAATATCACATCGCTGCCGTCCAAGGCGGAGAAAACCTCAGCGCTACGCATGTTTTTGAACCTGATCAACAAGAATCTGCCGGCTCGCGTTTGGCTTCCAATATTTTCCGACATTCCACACCATGTGGTGCGCATAACAGAGGAAAAGACTGCGGTGCTCAACTCAAAAGATAAGACGCCGTACATCATTTACGTTGAGGTGGTTGAGGTACCCGATATTTACTCATCACCTCTCATACCGAAGATGATGCCATCACTGCGACATACGAAGAGTGAGGAGCACTTGGAAGGCGCTTGCAGTCATCACCATCAAATGCATCAGCACAATCACGGCCACAACCATGTGAGTTGTAGCCGCACATCGAGTTGTAGCTCACATGGTGGCGCTGCCATTAGCGGTTCAAACTCCGGCTCGAGTTGTCGTCGTAAAAAGGAGAAACTGGTATCCGAGTCATCGTCCGTGGCATCGGATGCCCAAGCTTCAACAGCTGCCAGCGGCGATGGTGCACATGTATGCAACGCCCATGCAATAGGTCTCTCTCTTGGTGGCCTGCATTTAACCGAAGACGATGTGTGGTCGCAGGAGGACGACGAGATAACGGCTCAATACATGCATATGCGAAAATTAAGTGAACGAGATGCGGTCTCTCAAATGTCACTAGACTCCTGTGACTCAAGAGATCAAGGTATATATACGATAAATATTGACTTATAAAATATCTCTGGAAATAAAAATATCTTACACTAATTGCACACAATCTTCAGGCATTCCTGTTCTTTTCAATATTGGCGATGTGCGCACTCGCCACTGCAATAACTTAACCTGCGAAAACACAAAATCATTCAACAATGATCCCGAAGATCCCTCAGCGGCCGCTTTGAAGGTATGTACTTTATAAAAAAATTACTCATAGTGTAACAAAATAATTTTAACTAAATCGCAGGAGCCATGGCATGAAAAGGAGCAACAGATACGCGAGTCATCACCTTACGGCCATTTGTCCAATTGGCGCCTGCTCTCGGTAATTGTCAAATGTGGCGACGATTTGCGACAGGAGCTCATGGCTACGCAACTTTTGCAGGTTTGTAAAAAACTTCAGCTTAAACATTCCTAAAAACACTTCCATTTTAAATGTTCAATTTCTCTTCGCTTTAGATGTTCAAAATCATCTGGCAGGAGGAAAATGTCGATCTCTGGGTGCGACCATATAAAATTGTCTGCTTATCCAGCGACAGCGGTCTGATAGAGCCAATACTGAACACGGTGTCACTGCATCAAATCAAAAAGAATTCTAATAAATCGTTACGCGATTATTTCATAGACGAGTATGGCTCACCAGATGGCGAACTGTTCCGTGCGGCACAAAAGAATTTTGTGCAAAGTTGTGCCGCTTACTGTTTGATATCGTATTTACTGCAAGTGAAGGACCGGTGTGTGATTAGTTAATTTAATTTTTAAAGTATCAAATTAATCATTTTTGTTTTTGTATAAAACAGGCACAATGGCAACATTTTACTGCATTCAGACGGTCACATTATCCATATAGACTTTGGATTCATACTGAGCATATCGCCGAAAAATTTGGGTAAGAAGAATATAAAATAAATAGAAAAATAGTTGTGGTTGCTTGTCGTAATGCAGACCACAACCCAACCACACTGCCCTTCAGACATCTTTCGTTATTCATTTCCCACGTATAACATCCGAAAAACTGTATTATTAAGATTCTCGTTTTATGTTATTTTAACATTTATGTCGCTTTTACCACTTTCAGGCTTTGAGCAATCTCCATTTAAATTGACACCCGAATTCGTTGACGTCATGGGTGGTACGAGTTCAGAGCTGTGGAAGGAGTTCAATCACTTATTGCTTGTTGGCATGATGTCGGCACGCAAGCACATGGATCGAATCATAAATTTTGTGGAAATAATGCGTAGCAGTAAGTTGTAGTGCACGCTCCCAATTACAAAAGCGCAACCAATTATTTAACATCTGCTACTTTATTTCAGATGCACAATTGCCGTGCTTCAAAAACGGTTGCTCCGGCACCGTACAGAATCTCCGAAAACGATTCCACATGAATTTGACCGAACAGGAAATGGAGCGAAAAGTAGAGCAACTCGTACAGGACTCACTCAAGAGCCTCTCCACAAAGTTATACGATGGCTATCAATACTATACGAATGGTATATTGTGAGAAAGGTTTTTCATGAAAATTTAAAGCGAGACTAACATGAAACACCAAACGCTTGCTGCTGCGTAGGCCGAGTTGCAGTTGCAGCAAATGAAAACTTACATACAAACAAATACATAAATGTCAAGTGAGCGAATGAATAGTGCATGGCGCTTGGCAGCGTTGACCACAGCGGCCAAGCCGTCACAGATATGTTGGGTAGCAGTGGCTACCGTACACCATTGTTTTGTATGTATTATATGTATTTTGTGTAGATATTTTTAGAAAGGAAAAAAGAAATCAAAATAAGAATATGTCGTTGTGACTGACAAATTAACTGACTGATTGACTGACTGTAGTTTTGTTAGATAATGTGAATGCAAACAAGAAGAATACTAGTGCTAGCTATTACATGTGTCACCCCGAAGGGTAAAGCTATGCTTTGCGAATTTTCAGCACCGAAAGTTTCTTCTTCACTACTGTATACTGTATACCTTCCTTTTTTGTATATACATATGTATATATATATATATGCAAATATAGTAAATATTTAAAAATCAACATACATACATTAAAATAATATAGTAATTAGTTTTTAGTGTACTATGTTTATATGAATGTATTGTTGTGTGTTGCTTAAAACAATAATAGTGTGAGTAATATGTGTAAATACACTTGAATTGCATATTTTGAATGAAAACAAACAAAAAACAGAGTGTGCAAATTTATATGTATATATTTATATATGTGTTAACCACATTCAATACGGCTGAGTTGGCCGGAAATAAAATATTAAACAAATCAATACATTTGAATACATTTCCATGTAAAATATATGAATTTGTACTTTTATTTTAGCTAGATTTGCTTCTTCGGGATAGTACAGACGATAACGAAAGCATAAGTTTAGACATTAATTTCCGTGGTTTCAAATAGAGCTTTAAAAGAGTTGTGTTTTAGCAAAGGAACAGTTTGAAAAGCGCTATTTTTATTTTTATTCTAATCGTAAAGAAAATATATTTTTGAGACATATCCTTTCATTACAGAAATGTACAGTTATTTATTAGCAAGTCGACGATTGATGGCCTAAAAGTTTACGACTTGTAGCTTTCAGACACATTTTTGCGTTTTAGTAGCTCAACTATAAGCCAAGGTAAATTCTGAGCCAGTCAACCACTTGAGTTCACTGAATATTTACATATTTTTAATTATAATTTTTAAAGAAGTTTAATGGTTTAAAATCGCGAGCCGGATATTTATTTTCTTATGTCATTGTATAGTATTAATTTTTTGTTTTTAATTATTCAAAATTGATATCTGCCAGCATTCACGGTTCACATCGCCACACGTACATATGTATGTATTTTATATTGAAATTTATAATAAAATGTATGTATATATATAGTATTAATACCAAAAAACGAAAATATTTGTTTTAAAATGGTCGAAAATGTCGTAAAAATACAAAAATAAATGCGTTTATTACCGCCTTATATACATATGTATGTACATTCAATATAATTTAATATAAGAAAGAATGTTAAAGAATGTACATATAACTGTACATACTTACGAATAAATTTTCCGACAATGTCCCGCTCGTGTTTACTCTCTAATGGCTACTTTTTTATGAGATAAAACAAACTTTCTGTATATACATATATAAAAACATTTTATAGATTAGAAATATGCGTTTAATGAATAGTAATTAAAAAAATAATATAATTTAGTAATAAATAGCTAAAATATTCAATATAATATATAAAGAACGTTTCAAACAGTTTAATAACTGTATGCACACTTTTAAATTTATAGTATACAATTACTTGAAGATAGTGCTAGTAAGCAGGAGAAAAGTAGCGCGCTTAAAGTGCCAGCAGAAATAAAAAAATGCAAAAACAACAAAAAACTCTAAAAGGAATTAAACCGAACTAAAGAGAAATAGCAGTAACGTAAAACGGAAAAAGTTTGTATGTCACGTTTAACGGTGACTAGACTAGACTATTTAATGCATTGAAAACTAAGTACTAAATGTTTGTAATTATTACTTGAGATATTAACTTTTTCCTACATCATAAAAAGCATAAACAATATAATTAATTATTAAATCGTTTGACGCGAACTAGTATAATAAGCACTCTTATAAATTCGAACTACAATATATTTAAAGCAAAAAATAATATATTTATAAATAAGTGAAATCTTTGTAAAACTTTCCATTCAAAATCATATATCTTCGACATTGAAAACAATCAAAATAAAAATGTTAAGGATATTCGCGTACGCCCAACGTAACATATGACACACACATACACTCGCATACGTTCATATGAAACTCTTGCAATTGTAAAAAGTGCACTATTTTCTCCTACAATCCTTTTTTTAACTTCCCTCAACGTCTAACAATACCGTTATTAATTAAAGGAGATGTGAATATTTTATATTTAAATATATTTGTAAGATGTAACAATATGAATGTATATAATAATATTTTAATTTGCTAAGCCTTCAATATCCATACATATGTACCTATGTACACAAGTATATTATATACTAAATGTATACAATTTGCCTATTATTATAAAATATGAATGAAACGCCAATAATACATACATACATGCATAGTTATTACATGCATATTTACTTACAATTGTACGAATTGAATTTTTGAGCATAAAAGAAAATCGCCTATAAAATAAAACGCAACGTAATTTTGCAATTCATTCAACAAAAAAAAACGA